AAAGTCCAACTTTAATTACCCACGGTACCTATCCCAGTGTTAGACACCAGCAGACAAGCCAACCAGTACTCATTGTTTAGAAATTAGAGAAATGTAGAAGGAGATTTTAAAATAACAATAAGCTCTGCAAACCAGTAGCAGGAGCTTCTCCATGCTCCAAATCACATGCTGGGGAGAAAGCAAAATAATCGAGAGCATCTTCCATCAGCATTGCACAGTAGCCCACATCCGCTAATGGTTTTCCTAGGTTTATATATAAGATATTGTAAATATTTTTTTTAAGTCTTTTGGAGTAAGACAGCATAAGGAGCACAAGAATATCAGTAACATAATTTACTTTTGAAAAAAGGAGAAGAGAGAGCAACAACAGGGGTCACCCAAATTCACAAGAAACCCACACACTGGGGCTCTGGCAGGAACAGCACTTAGGAGCAGGAACAGCCACCTGCCCCACCCCTACCCCCGGGGCCATCAGTGAACTAAACTGAACTGCTCATTTGCCAAGATGGGGTTGGTAGGAGAAGAGCACAGATGAGGGTAAATTAAGCCAGCTCTACTTTCTCTGGTTCTTCTTAAATTCTCTGGCTAAAAAAAGACTCCAAATAATAGCATCAGCTGCTAATCTACAGTGCTTTCTGCTTGTCCTGGTTCACCAGCCTGCTTCCAGGGCGCTCTGGCTTATAGATTGAAGAAATAGAAAAGCGATTAAAAAGCCTACTTAAAATGAGAAAGGACTGGATCTTAGACATGGTATATACCTCCAGATCAGGTGGTCTGGTGGCAAGGACATTAAATAGATAGGGTCCAATTCTAGGTGAGGCCCAAACATCTTGCCCCTAGCACGAGGTGTGTCTCCTCTATGTCTTAATGATAAATTCTTCCTGTAACCAGTGGCTCTACCCACAAATATATACAACTAGAACATGAAGGCAATTCCTGTTTCCTCTCTGATTCTGTACATGCCCGTTCTACCTTACCTTGCCAGGTGACAGTAACTATTAAGAAACCCCCGGCACAAGGCATCAATGGCAAAGGTGAATATAACACTCTGGTCTGATGAGGTGAAATCTCAGAGTAAAAATGGCTGTACAGGGTACATTATGGAAGGGTAGGAAGAGGAATTCTGAAGTTGGACTGTCTGGGTTCCAATCCCATCTGTACTACTCGAGGACTGAACAAGTTATTTAATTCCCCTAAGCTCCAATTTCCTCCTGAGTAAAATGAGAACAACTCTGCATACAGTTGTAGTAAGGCTCACATGAACCCCACACCAAACAGCCTATTTCACAGTAGGAAGTATACGTTCAATGAATGCTAGCTAATATTAGTCCCTCTCTGCATTTTTCTATAGCTTTTTCCATAGATGTTTTCTCTTAAATAGTCATAGTATCAGATTCGGATTCTGATTCTAGTCAATGCCGGTCTTGAAAAACAGCCTTCAGCTTGGTTTTGGTTGGTGTTTTGTTTTTGTTTTTGTTTTTTTTTTTAAAGGCACTCATGTAATTTTATTTGATTAAAAACAACCACCATAGTCAACACTACTATTGCTGTTACTACTTTCTACTGTGGTTCCACTGCATCTCCTCTTTCTTTCTTTCTTTCTTTCTTTCTTTCTTTCTTTCTTTCTTTCTTTCTTAATCAGTCTTCCTCCTCTCTAGATTATATTTGCTCTCTGTCTAGAACATTCACTTCCTTCAAAAAATGTACAGAACAGTTGAAATCCAATCACCAGCACTATCTGGCTGTGTGATCTTAAGCAAATTTCTTAATCTCTGACAGTTTACTCATATATAAAATGAGAATAATGAGATTATCCAACACAATGTTTTCAGGACAATTAAATAAAGTCATGCCCATAAAAGTACCTACCATGAGAAACCCTAGAATATATGAGATACCCCTACATTTCCCACCCTGATACAATGGAATTTTAAATTTGGGCAGTACCAAATTCTTTCCCTGAATGAAAAGGCAAAGAAAATCATGTCTGCCAAACAGCATGTGGGAAAACCTAAATATGGAAATAGTTGAGAATATTACACAAAAAGATTCACTTCTGCAAGGCTGATTATGCTGAACATTAGGACAGTCCTGATGACAACAGCCTGATCCAAAGTCCTGCATCCAGACAGCCAACTGGTAATGCTGAAGGAGATGTGCTTATTGAAAAGAATATCTGCTCTAATACTTTAGGAAACTATACAGTGTGTTACTGCTGGGATACCAGGTCAGAGTTGATGTGTGACTCAGCTGTAACGAGAGCAGTGCTGGGGGGACACGCGGTGGAGGAAGGAGCATGAATTCCCCACTTTCACCTCGGGATGGACCCATGCTGACTCCTGGGAGAGAACGAAGGGCAGATTTAGGCCTGGGCAGGGCAGTCAGCACAGAGACAGAGGGAGATCACATATGGTTTGCCCTTGGCTTGCTTTAATGGGCTTTCCTTCCCATGACTTCCATCAACGTAGTGATACAGAAACAGATCCTTTGAAGTAATGTGGATAAATCTAAGTTAGATGTGAGCTTCCCTTAGCTGTCCCTATAAGAGGGCCAAAAAATCAAGGCATTGGGGGAAACTGGGGAACCTTGAGTGGGGAAAAGGCCTAAGTGTGAATGAATGATTTCCTAAAATTGAATGTGATTCCACATTCAGTGGGGTCTGTTTAGTCTAAGACAGGTGCAGGTTTTAAAGGGAACACTGGGCTAACATACCTTCTTCTTAGAGGGTTGAAATTTACTGCCAATTTTTTTTTTTTTTTGAGAGGTTTTTGCTCTAGGGCGCATGCACTCACCAGACAGACAGAGAGACAGAAAGCGAGAAATCACCCCCAGGGGGGATGGCCATGCCACAATCCCTTCTCCTCCATTCTCCTCTTGGGATCTTGGGCATGCACACACACACGCCCGGCGTGAGTTTAAGCCACCGGGTCTGGGACTTGAACCACGGTCAACTATGTGGGAGTTCAGCGACATAGCCATTACATTAACTGCTAGTCCCTTTACTGCCAATTTTGAGCCTCATTTCTCAGGCCCCACTTTGAATACCATGACATGAAACAAGGAGTCATTATGTTTATCCACTCTCTCCCCCAACTTCCATGATACACATGAGAGGATAGAAAGGGATGAAGATACAGCCCACAAGGCCTAGAAGAGGTTATCCTTATGAAAGTAGTTATCGTCAGGAGAATGAAGACACAGGGCTGGTAACAAAATATGCCATGGTTCCAACCAAGAATAGGGTGCCTTGGGCAGGAGGAGTTCAGACCATCCTTCACCTCTGGAGTCCCAATGTGAACGACAATTAGTGTGGCAGATTGAAAAGCACATCTCTGATTTGGATTTTTTTATTCTTTTTTTTTTTTTCCATTTATTTTTGAGAGAGATTTTTGCTATAGGGCATGTGTGCTTACAGAGAGGCAGAAAGTGAGAAATCACCCCCCTGGGGGATAGCCACACTGCAATCCCTTCTCCTCCAGTCTCCTCTTTGGATTTTAGGCATGCACATACACGCAGCTGGTGTGTTTTAAGCCACTGGGTCCAGGACTTGAACCACAGTCGACTACATGGGAGTCCAGTGACGTCACCATTACTCCATCTTCTGGTCCCTCTGACTCAGCTTTAAGAGAGACTTGATTCTCTGGCCAAGTGTATACTTCTTATCAGCTGAGTGGGACATGTAAAGGCCAGGGCAGCATGGACTGGCAAGGGGCTTGCCTAAGGGGGCTATTGGCAGTGAGAACTATGCATGGAAGACTTAAAAGGAAGGACAGATTCTGCTTTGGAAAGATAAATATACCAAACTATCACAGTCCTAATCAGCTCATCTGTATGACTCCTTTAAGGAAAAAAAACACAAGTAAAAGATCTAGATGGGCTAACTGTGATGTCATGGGAGGACAACTATTGTCAAACGAGAAATAGAAAAGCCGAGCTCAAGCTCGAGTTCTGCTTCTGATTTCTTTGTGTGGCCACATACGTAGCACTTACACTCCCTAAGTTCTGTTCGGCTGCTCCCTGGTTATGTAACTATTTATCTCGAAGCCTCAGGAGCTTATCAAGAAAGGATACATGCTAAAACAATTTACCTCCCAGTGTGGAGAGAAGCATGAGATGATATTATGCCACTGCCTGGCATACTGGAAGTCTCAATACAGTTTAGAGACTACCTACAAAGCTAGGGGGATAAATAAACCCTATGGTATCCTGTAGCCCTAACCTTGTTTTTCTTCTAAACTTTGGTGAATTGAAAGAGAAGTGAGCACGCTGGCTAAGCATGAAGGCTTGGAATTTAGAAACAAAAAAGAAAGCAAGTTTGCCAGAGCATCTGTAGAATGATGATGTTCATGTTTTGTAATCTTGACTAAAGCTGACTCTTGCCAGACAAATCAATTGACAGGTTAAAATAATGATCAAAGTGCTTGAAAAGCACTGTACAAATAGAACATCGTCATTTTCATATGGTTGCAGTTACATACTGAACAGCCCAAGAGCTATCAATTCCTAGGGCTGGACAAAGCTCTCTCTGGGTTCTTCCAGGTTCCCCTAGTAAGTCATTCACTTGCTGATGAAGACTCATTGACTAAGTCAAGGACCTGGGTTATGACTGTCATTCAAATGATGTTTCTACAGAGTATCCATAGATTACAACCTTACTAAAGTTTGAACGAGCTTTTCCTGTACATTTTGTTTCTTCGTAGCTCCTTTCTAGTTCCCACTCTACACAGGACCTCCACAACATGGCAAGCTCAAGAACACAAACTACAAAACAGATACTCTCTCAATGTATGTAGGCCAGAGGAAGAAAGTCATTCCCCTAGTAAGGATTGTCTTCTGGTATACCCAATCCATCTTTTCCAGTTTCCCAAAGTTCTGTAGACTGGAACTGGCCCACCCAGAGTGGCCCCACTAAATGCCATGCATTCCATTAGAAATTCAAGCATAGACAGTATCTTTGACTAGACGAAGCTATTAGATATTAATGTTCAGACAACACCTACCTCACTCCAGACCAGCATGGTACCGAAGATGACCTGTAACCCATCAAAGAAATTGTCCCCTATGATGATCACAGTCGCGCCTCCTGTCGTCCATCCTTCACTCGGGCTGATGGCTTTGATACAGGGAGCAGCTGCTTTTCAACACACATGAAAAAGAGAAGGAGTCTGCTGTTAGAACCAAACTTTAATGATGGGAGACTTGAGAAACAGAAAAAAAAAATCTTTTATCTTTTCACTAACAGAAAGTCCCTCAAGATCCCAGCATTAGCTAGACACGTTAGGACCTGAATCCTAAGGGTGCGACTGCAGATATTAAAAGCATTCTTTCATGGTCTCTATTAAGACGCAGATATTTCACCCAAATCTTTATCAACACTGAAGTTTTATGAGATAAAACACAGAAATAAAATGTAATTTAGGAAAGCCCCCCTCAGTGGGTGACTTTTTGAAATGCACTGGCAACTTTATAGAATTGCTTTATAATTAAATGTATCTCCTGGAGAAAGAAAAGTATACGTGTTTGGATAAATATTTCTGTCCAATGGGAAACTAGGAAAGAGAAAAGGTTAGAGCAGGCAATGGTTCTTGCTCCACGCCTTCTGTTTATAACACTCATAGTACAATATTCCTCATTAAACATCATTAAATTTCCTTTCAAAATACATAGCATAAATCCCATCTTATAGATGCAAACTTGCAGGTCACTCCAGGTGAATTATATAACCAAAATAGCTGAGTCCAGGCTGAACCCCTCAGTCCTGTGACCTTTGCTTTGTTGTTGCCTTTCTCAGGCATAAAACCCAAGAATCGACTTTTCACATTTTCATCTCTTCTCTTTCTATTAAAAATGGCCTGTGGAGATGGGAAAGAATTTGCAAATGCTGTGATTACAAACAGGCTGGAGACGGTTTGCCTAATGAGCACAGCATACTTTTAGCAGAATGGCTGGCCAGAAATGTCATTGTTGGATGATGTGTTTGAAATCTCTCAGAGAGCACCTTTGTGACACTGAATATTTTTAACTACACAACCCCATGCTCTTGTTCCCACAATCACTTTTACAAACACCAACAAAAAGAAAAATTCTAAAGCAAGGGGGATGTTCTAACGGGAGAGAAAATGGGACCCCCCCCCCCTTTAATAAAAAATGTATTAAGTATCCAGAATTGATTTTCCAAGTATTGAAGCCACTGAGAACACCAGTGAATTTTAACAGGGAAAACGAGCTGGCAGAAAGTGATTGGACTTTGTCAAATTTGGCAAAATGTAATGCTTTAACTTTTGCAAGAAGGAAAGAAAACATCAAGCCCAGTCCAGTGGGACCATTGCTCACGTGCCACCACACAAACAAGTGGAATGGGTTTGATTTTGATTCAAATTCATCTTAAAAAATTGCACAGAGAAATTTGGAAATATCCAAACTAAACATTTCATGTTGGCTGAACTCATAGCAATGCATTTACAACTAAAACTGGGCTCTTGGTGTGTCTTTTCTCTCTTCTACTTTCTCCTCAAAACAAAATAATTAATCAAGAAAATGTAAATGATTCATGACTTGACTTGAAAACCCTTTTACAATTATTAACATACGCAGAGGTTATAATCAATGCTCTATAGGCATAGGACTTTTCTTTTCTTTCTTTCTTTTTTTTGGAGAGGTTTTTGCTATAGGGTATGTGTGCTTGCCAAAAAGAGAGAGACAGAAAGTGAGAAATCACCCCCTAGGGCAGATGGCCATGCTGTAATCCCTTCTCCTCCATTCTCCTCTTGGGATCCTGAGCACGCACGCACATGTGCCTGGCATGAGTTTAAGCCACTGGGTCCAGGACTCAAACTGCGGTCAACCACATGGGAATCCAGTGACATAGTCATTACATCAACTGCTGGTCCCAGGACTTTTTTTTTTTTTTTTTTGCCCATTTTTTTTTAAATAAAAAAGTTTTCATGTATGATTAAGTACTCCCAAACT